AGTGGAGTAAAATACATCAGCCGTAATCAGAAATTGCTGTCAACACATATACGAGAACATATTCGTGCATGGTTTTATAAGAGTGAAAAGAAATGCATCAGAAGTTCTATCTTTGAACACTTAATTGATTCGGACCATTCGATCGACCCGAACAATGATTTTAAGGTTGTCTATCGAGTTCGCTCAAGCATTTCACGTTTTATCCATATTCAGCTTCTAAAAACAGCAGAAGGTTTGGCTATCTATGAACTGAAGCTTGACCTTAACTTATTGTGGTCTTGGCTTGTTTTGTTTATTTTTCAGCTTCCCTCTTTGTTAGATTAATCTTTGTACTCTTATATCATCAGGATTTTTACATTTAATAGTTTCCGGTGTGACTCCATTTAAACTTTCTAATTAATTTCATCTTTTAACAAAACGTTTTCAGTTTATCATAGTTAAATTGCCTCATTCATATTATCTAACTATTTGATTGTTTATTAACTCTACCACTTTTTCAACCCTTTGTATGCACGATTTAAAAAGCTTACATGTAACATTTCCGTCATCAACTATAAATTAAATTTTCCTCGAGTATTGAAGTTTTTAAACATCATATTTATATATAGACGAATGCAGAGCTTGAGAATAAATTCGTTGGAAAGAGTCCTTTTCACTGAATGTCATACAAGTTAGTTGGCATTTTTATCTTCTATAATTAGTAATATAGTCTCTGAGTGCTCACTGCTAAAGATTTCAATGAGACTGTGCTTAACGATCCTAGTTACTAATGTATGTCTAGCATTCTGGACGCTAAATGATGCCTTTCATTTACTATGCCTACAGTGCAATGATTGTGAACAGAAAGACCAACCGCCCTACCAGTATCAATGTTGTCGACATCGAGTGGTGTCCACATCCATCAATAATATTTAAATGCATTACAGGCGTGCTTATGAAAGTCTCTTTGCCTCGTTAAACCTTAGAAGTGTTGATCTTGTCATAGGAGACTGCTTAATGGACCTACAGTATGCGGATAACATGGTTCTCTTTGATTAAGATGTTGAATAGTAACTTAGAATGGTTGGAATACGCTTCTTGCCATTCAAGTGGAAATTGTTACTCCAGAACTAGTTTTCACTGGTGCGCTGTCTGACAATAAGCAGTCATATGGTTGACCATTTCACTTACCTGGAGAGTCGGATCAGCTATCGTACGTTAGTGACCGACAAAAAATCTGCATGGGTACGAAAGGCTCGATTAGCTTTCACCAACTGTGGCACCACTACGATCTCCAATTGTCCATGAAGAGTCGAATGTACTGTTCGCTCTATTCTACCATGTCTGTGAAATACGGTGATTAAAGGTAGAAAATATTAGAAGGCTTCTGGTGTTTAACCACTGACGCCTTTGTAGCATAGACCATATGCCATGATGTCACCGTGTCAGTTGGTTTTAGAGAGGAGAGTAAAGCCAGTTAGTGAAGTTGTGAACCTTCATCGACTCAGGTGGCTGGAACATATCTAACATGCCTAGTCACCATCTTCCTCGTCGCACAATTTTAGCTGAAATAGTTTCAAGCTGGAAAAAAGCTTGGGGTGGTCAGACTAAAATATGATATCAGTTCCTTAAGTCGTTAACTTTTCATTTGAACCATGTATAAGGGATGCAGACTTCCCAAATGCGGTTGGAGATTCCAGTTAACATGGCTGAGAATTGCTTGTTGTCGAGTTTCATAATTGTTCCACTCCTCGAACCTCTGTTTTTATAACTTTTCCTTTCTTCCTTGTTTCTCTGTACTTCATTTCGGTATCTTGTTCCTTTATTTGCTGATCTGCAGTGTGGCAACTTGGATCCTTACGTGGTAATGCTGGGTCGCATGTTCATACTGAATGACGAATGTTAGAGTAGCTAGTAGCTGAGAGCCTGCCTTTCTATCTTATTTAAGGCTATATAAACGTTTTGTATTGCAGCTTCACATTCCTCCCATAAAAATATACTAATAGGTGGTCTACTACACTGTTGAAACATCTGTTAAAGAAAACTGATCGATTCTTCCCGTCAGTAGAAAAGGCTGTGATTCATAGCTAAATTACTAATTCAGAGAATGGTTGATTAAAGTGCGGGTTTATATCTTAGCTCTGTGATACAAGATATCGTACGCACGACGGCAGTATTTCAATGTTTCACACCTGATGTAGACAGGCGATGAATATCCACTCCATAGGTTATACTCTATCACTTCAATATTCAAGAGTTTGGTGCCACACTTTTGGAAGTTGCTGCCATCGAGTCTCTTTCTCGTTGTCTGTTAACCTGAAATATCTCCTTTTTGAAATTTAAAGTTAGTCAGGGACCATTACAAGTTCTTCTGAATCATATTCCCATCTCTACAATACTCGAGTGTGCAGTTTGATTGGCTTTTGAAACACAACTGGAGTTATGTTTTGCCTATCAATGATAACGAAATGTATTACCCAATAGACTACGGTTGTTAGGGGAAAATAAATAATAATGCAAACTGACTGGATAACTGTTGTGTCAGACACTACTGTTATGACTTTGGTCAGTTGTAATTGTCTGAAGCACGTGATTTTGTCCATCCACTCTCAACACTGACTTTGGGTTTGATTAGTCTCTCACATACTTGCCACGTCTCATATGCTCAATTGATTTACACGACTAGTCATACAGTTCAGTCCTCTCAACCGTATACATGACAGAATACAAAGTTCGGTGCGTTTAGGCAATCTGACTCATATATACAACGAAATAAATAACATTGTCACACGGCACGATAATTTACAGTGAAAATTTCATGCAGAGAGAATGGTTGGTTCCACTGAACATGCAACTATTTCCGAACTACATACATAAGTGGATGAGGGGTCAATTGAAAGCTCTTGAACCTGAACTATGCAAGTGTTACCCGCTAAGTCCTAATTATAATGTCTTTTAAAATAAATAAAGTAATATGACCGATAATACTTATCTAAGATTTACTCTAACCATTTTCAGCCAATATTAACAAATACATTGTACATAACTTCGAACTAGTCAACAAGAAACGTCAACTAATCTGATCTATTATGTTTGTGTGGTATGATTGACTATCTGACCTCCTTCATACTCCATCAGAAGTCAGATGGAGGTGACATGTTCGGAAGTGAAGCAGCTTCTGTAGACAAAAAGTGATACTGCTAGTTTTAAAATATGTAACTAACAACTTATACATGCTAAATTACTGCTGAAAAAGAAATTGAATGAAATTCAGTCTAGCATAAAAATCTTCAACAAGTTGTTAGTTACACCTAAAAAAGAGGAAGAGTGGACTAATAACACATGTATGTGAAGCAGTAGTGTTGTAATTATCTGAAATACTGTTTGTTGACCGCAAATTACAAACTTGATTCTACTGACAACTCATGTCTAGAGTATCAAGACGATAGTGTTGACCAACTAATTACAGAATACTGATGAAGGCTGTACACTCTATTTTTCCAATTAAAAAGATTCCAGAGATGAAAGTTTCAATCAAAGTGACTTTCAACTTTGAAATTTGTTGACATCAACGGGAATATGAAGTGAATAGACAAATATTGTGACCTCCGTCCGATTGGCTACTAACACGTAAAATCGAATAGACTATACCATAATAAACCCCAATATGACTTAATGAAAACATTTTCCATCTAATCGATAGACTTTGACGAGAGATTAGAAGTAGACAAGCAATAATGGATACCACTTCTTGTTGATATCAGAATAACAATGAAATGTTACAAGCATCAGTACCAATAAATAGTAATGCCCATTGGATAAAAGGCGGCTATCGTTTCTCAGTGGATAATGCCCAGTTGTCTGAAGCGATGCGTACTGGGTTCGAGCCTTAGTGAGAACAACATCATTCACTGCGGTACAGATACATCCAGGTGACAGGCCCCAAATGAGACTAAATGCTAGCCACTATCAAGAAAATTACAGCATTGGTTACCATCTGTGATGACCCATTCGTATGCATACTATCAAATTAAAACCACTTGTTTCACTAACTTAAAGGTCATTCCATAAGATAGTAGACTGACTTATAAATGTCTATTAGTCTTCAGTTTAATCACATCTATGTACTGGATTTGGCATCAGTATTCTACAAAACTGTTAAACAAATAATGTTGAATTTGACTGCACACAATGATAACGTGAACTCTAAGAACAACAAAAAGTAAAAGGACACAAAACAGTGATATTTAGGTGTCTGGATTTACGTACCTACCAAATGTATCGTTTCAAATAATGAAGATATATAATATATGATGGCACCAAAGTACCAAGGTAGTAATTTTAAAAGGCTGTAAAATTTAGTCTGCTTAGTTGGTAAATTAGACTGAGATATGAGTAGTGTGTTAGTCGGTATGCGTTTCTGATAGTATCCTTGATTTACTAATTAAGTAATTACGGTGTTTGTGTATTCAGCTGAAAGCATTCCACTGTAATCAGTAAATAGCACGTACATATGTACCCAGTGTATTGATTAAACTTCGGTTACTGATCAGTGCAGGGAAACTACTCAAATCAGATAACTCTCAGTTTCTCTACAGTGATTGCTGACTGAAGTGTAGTCGTCACTGAAGTTAACAATCTTTACTGTCCACTGGTGAGTTTAGTCCATCTAATTTACCATGTGGGCGTTCAGTTAATTGACTGTATATTGTGTGTAGTACTGTTGGAAATAGTTGGCAGGAAGTTCTGTTTTAATTAGATACTGCACTTAAAGTTGGCTCAGTGGTTTAGGGAGGTAACTTTCGGTCAATGAGTCACGGGTTCCAACCCAGCTCCATCTACTGAGGTTCGGGCATCCAGGTAGTATCATCACTAGGCCTCACACAATAGGTGTGGCTAATTGCCTACTGGAAGAACATGCGCAAAGCTGCTGAATGCATTTCTTGATAACAATATTTTACATATTCATAATTGATGTGTTTGTGCGGCCGAATAATATATATGCAAAAAAAGTCATTTAAGCTACAAAATGAAGGATTTAGTTTAACATTATACGACTATTACTTCTCAACAAAACAGTACGAGACAATAATCAGAGTCAAAAGAAAGCTTATAAAAATGATTGAAAAATATTACTGTCAAGTAACTTCAAAATAAATCCAATAGTTGACTTAAATATATATAATTGACCAAATGTTTCATATCTTCTTTTTCTTGGCGCGCTATAACAACTACTATTGAACATGTACAAACAATCAGTTGGCCAGTGAGTTAATGGTGAGTCAAGGTGACAAATTTTGATCCCCTAATCTAATGCATATTTAACCATATTTTATAAAATATTTCAAACGATTTAAGTTCTTGGAGATGAAACAATTTCCAACCGATAATGACTACAAATCTTCAGTCAAAACACTAACAACAAAATATATTGTAACTTTAGCAAGTAACTTTTGTTTGATTCAGAATAACAAAATTGTATTGACTTGCCTACAGCTTAAGTTGAGTAATGTCAGAAAGGCTGGATTGACCCCATTTTTGTAGTCATCTTGGTGACTGACAGTGGAGTCCAGGACACAAGTTTTGTTCTAATTTGGACTCATCAGCTGGATGCACCCACACCCCAGTGATTGATGCTTTTTCCACAGAGATTCAAACCCAGTCCCATTCTTTCAAACGTCAAAGCGTTATCCAATAGCATACGAAAGCAATCTCTCGTGTAACGAGTATCAAATAAGGACTTACATTTTCTTTCTTGCACATTATGCAGCATAACTTTCAAAAACAAATATTTCGCAAGAATCAGTAGACAGATGGGTATACACCTGCAATGTGAATCTCTGATTGACTGGTCGATCAGAAATCTAAGAAGAGGACAGTGGTTTTCAGTAGGATAAAGAATGTATAACATAAGTAGGAAATGTCTTTTAAAATGGATAATGAAATCAAGATGAACAGACAAAATCAACGTAGAACCCCGCACAGAAATGCATTCAAAGAACAAGTAGGCAGAGATGTATAGGAGAAGGTATTTTAAAATGAAGGTTAGTCAGAACATTCATGCTTCGGAAGACATTAAGGAGTGAACGTATCTGCGTTACTGTGACCGATTCTCAGCCATATCATGAAGAGTCTTCAACCACTGATTCCCATAGTCTCGGACACCTCCATACACTACTCAGACTAACAATTACTGTCTAGTTAATACATCAAAATTTAAGCATACACCACACAACGCTACTTCAATCTACATGCCACAGTTATACCTCAAAGAAATGCGAAAAAGTGTCGGGTATAGCATAGATTGACCAAAGACAGGGAACACACCTATTTTATACACGAGTATTTATTTCCCTGTAATGGTAGTAGTAGTACATACAAATTACACAGGGAGAAGAGGGGAAATGAAGTAGGTGAGTTGAGTGAATCAACAAAAGTGGTATCTTGTATACAGTCGGCAACTAAAAACTTCTTTTCTATTCTTGCCTCATTTACTACAGTCTTATAAGTGAGATAAACAAAGAGGCAGAGGCTGTTGGGCTGGAGGAAATATTTGTAAAACTTGTAGCACCACACACACATACACAATGTCTATAAGTGTAGAAAATGTTACAAATAATTTATCAACAGAACAGATCACGAGTGAATATTCTTCAATGTATCGGTGAATACAATGAAGACTACCGATGTTTGTTCCCAAAAAAATTAGTGAGCAAACCAGTAGAACTGAGGAAACTCCTCTTAAATGTACACAACATAAAGGAACAATGACAACGCGCCAGTGATAAGAAAGAAGACAGAGAAAATCGTCAAGGTTATGTACAAATGTATTTAACTCGTATAATCTGTGTATGTCTGCATCTAAGGTGTGTGTGTGTGTGTGTGTTCATTTTTGGAAGAAATAAACACAATAAAGGTAATTATTTTCATATATTTTATAAAAATTATATCCTCAAATAGAATACTATTGTAAGTTATTTCTTAGAAGAATGCATAAATATAAAGTGAAGAAAAATGTGAATAAGATGAATTAACAAGTGAACAAGGGGATGACCTTTCATCCTTCCAAGTAACTACACACGAAAATATAAATTAACCAATGAAGTACTCTCGTTTGACAGACGTATATATCATTGTTTGTCAGAGTTTATCCGCAAACAATACAAATTAGGTTTAGCTGAATGAAATATATTACACAGAAATCACAGTATTATAATTGAGCATAGGCTACTGACTTGACTTGTAAAAAACATCTTCCTCAGAATCATCACATAACACTGCATTTAGCATTTGATGAAGCATTTGTAGCTACCATACTATTAGCAGTGGTTGCTGGTACAGCTGAGTGCATTGTTGCACACACCAGACCACGACGTTGTATCGGTGAAGTGATTCGTGGTCCAGTTTGTAGTCCAGAGAGATGAGGTGGTGCATGTACACACTTATTAGTTTGACCACCATACATTGCACGTGAGTTTGTTACTTTTGGATTTGTGTGCAGTTCTTTATGGCATTGTAATGAACCACTGAGAGGCGCATACTTTGCAGGATGCTTATTATCAGATGGTTTGGGAACGGGGGGATTATTGCTGTTAGTACTAGTCATTGCACCATTGGTCTTCGGTTCATACTTACACAGAGGCAGATATCTAGAATCAGTAGCCGACTGTATTTGCTTTGCACCCGGGACATTATCTTCTTCCTCCTCGACAACCTCGTCATCATCATCGTCATCTTCAACAATATCACCGTCTGAAGTTTCACTACGTTTAACAACTTGATTCGGCTTTTCTGAGGCTTTGATAGATGATTGGTCAGTATTATTTAAGCGTTGTTGATCAGAACAGCAAGAGGTGTCTCCTTGAGACAATATATAGTTGTGCTGATATGGTGCAGGTTTACGCCTATAGTCTGCATTAAAACCATGAAACTCTTCCTGAAGTTCAGGTTCAATTTTCAATGGAACATTGTGTACAGCTATATCTTCAGGGATTCGATTAGGTGCATTCATATGACCGAATCCAATACGTCTCAAACGACCAGCAGACATAGCACCGCGTAATCTAACCAAAGAAATAGATAAAAGCGATAAACAACCTCCTACATTCCGAATTTAATAACAACAGATAAAACTGAGGACACGGATATATACACCAAGATGTTTAAGGTAGATTGACAGAAGGCTTAAATGATTATTGATTTAACAAGCATGTCTCAAGGTTTTTTGTCAAAAATATTAAATGAACTGTGTTTTCACGATATAAGATATCACCATCAGTGGTAAATGACTTCATTTTTAGATTGTTAGAAGTGATTAATAGAGGATAGTCTATGTGCTAGGCTATAGAGATACCAGCTATTGAGTGAGGCAGGTTGATGATGATAATATTTCGCGGCTAAAAACAACAGTGGGGGAGGGAAATAGATACAAAGCGACTGATCCATTAGTTGTAAGTCAATAGTTTGAAATACAGACTTACAGTCCTGTATTATTTCGTAAGATATCTTATATCCAGGTTACATGCTTAACATGAATACACTGTGCTCTTTTTGCAATTAGCCTTTATACCTAAAATCACTTTTGAAACAGTTATCTAATGAATACAATTTGTCTGCTTTGATTTTCAGTGTATCTGAGGTTGGTTAGATTTTATCTGAAGATGATTCAAACATACCTGACTTTCACTGAAGCGACTATTGAAAATTCGATAGGTGAAGAACTTCTTTACTTAATCTTAAGTTACTTAACAGGAGTAAAGTTGTGACGTCCGTTATATATACGGTTGAAGCCTTCAGAACTCGATCTACTGTGTGCATTACTAGTGCAGTTGTGACTTATTGCTTTAGACAATCGATAGGACATGGGTACGAACGCGGCTCCACTCACCGATTTTTGGGTAGCCAGGCAGTATCACTAACCTAGCCTGGTTAAATAGTTCACTAGTTACTAGCCAGTCCTAACTTCAGGGAAAGAGGGAAGGTTGGGCATACGGCTAGCAACCCTACTCCGTACAGCCAATCCAATCGCTAAAGATAGTTCAAAACACAAAAAATATTAAAAATGAAAACAAAATTATTCCTCACTGGAATCGGAGAGGCGAAACGACGCCAACTGGTGAAAGCCTACCTTCGGGAAGCCAATTGACCGATGTGTCTTCTCTCGATGAAAGCGAAAATAAACGTGGGGACATGGAATGTCTGCACCATGTATGAACCTATCAAGGCTGCCCAGATTGTAAACGAGATAGAGAGGTATCACATTGAAGTGCTTGGAATCCGCAAACAATCTGCAGGTCGAATGGAAGTGGACTCTCCAAACTGTCAACTGCAGAATCAATAATCAACTCCGATATTGTCACCCAGACGACAACCACAAGCACACAGAGGGAGTGGTTATCATTATGTCCCCAAGAGCACCGAAGGCTGTCTCTCATGCAGTGGGAACCAATCTCCTCCAGCATCGGGATCATCACAGCAAGGTTAAACTCAAAAGGAAGGAAGGTCACAATCATGCAATGCTACTCCACACACCTACAAATAATGCAGAGCAAGAGAAAAAGGAGGAATTCTACAGACAACTGCAATCAGCATTGGACAAGACCCCAGTTGGCGACATCAAAATTCTAGTGGGTGGGGTGACATGAATGCCAAACTGAGAGCAGACAACACAGGAAGAGAACTAACCATGGGTCGAGAAGCACTCGGTGAGGTGATGAACGAGAATGGAGAATTGTTTGCAGAATTCTGTGCATTCAACGATTTGGTGATTGGAGGCAGTCTGCACAAACACAAGGATATCCACAAAGCGACATGGATTTCACCAGATGGACATACTAAAAATCAGAAAGTGGAGATGCAGTCTACTGGACACAAGGTGAAGAAGAGGAGCAGATGTAGGTTCAGACCACACACTATCTGGTGCAACGAACCCTCCAAATCAAGTTGAAAGCCTTCAAGGAAGTTGGTGATAGACCACAGTTCAGCACCCAGAACAGAAACTGAAGGACGAAACTACAAAGAAAATTTTCACGGCAGCCATCAAGACAAAATGGAAGATATCGAGCAGCATCCCTGAAGAAACCCGTGTGGATGAACACTGGAAATCTTTGAAAGAGATGTGGAAAGAAACCTGCACAGCCGTATTAGGAAGGAAGAAGAAAGAAGATAAGGAATGGATCTCGACAGACACATGGAAGCTGATAGAGCAGAGAGAGGAGGATGGTGAAGCAGAAGATCAACCAGTGCAGTGCAGGGATGAACAACGATAAGAGGAACTGAGTACAACGTATAAAACACTACACTGGACAAAGAAGTGAAGAAGAGTGCACGGAAAGACAAAAGACACTTCTACAAAACACTGGCAAGTGAAGCAGAACAGGCTGCAGGTAGGAGAGACCTGACAACATTGTATCAAATAACCAGGTTACTATCTGGAAAGAAAGAGATCAACGCAGATGAAACCCATAAAAGATGATGAAGGAAATCTAATCATCAGAGAAGAGAAACAAAGGACACAATGGGCTGAACACTTCAAAAAGCTCTTGAATCAACCACCGCCACCACCTGCAGCCACAGACCTACCAGTGAACATAAATCCAACAAAAGTCGAAGTCCTGAACGCCATAAAGCTACTGAAATGTAGGAAAGCAGCAGGACCAGATGGAATCCAGCTAGAAGCACTGAGAGCAGACGCAGGGACAGCAGCGAACATGCTCACACCACTATTGCAAAAGGTGTGGAAGGAAGGGAAGGTACCTGGTGATTGTAAGAAGGGTTACCTTGTCAAACTCCCGAAGAAGGGCGACCTAAGCCTTTGCAAGAACTGGCTTCTGTATGGCTCAGAGACCTGACGCGCTACGAAAGGCATTTCCAACAAACTACAGATATTCATCAACAACTGCCTACGCTGGCTCATTACTGAGGATCAGATGGCCAGAACAGCTGGAATAAGCAACAAGGAACTCTAGCTGGCAACGAACCAACCAAGAAGCTATCACTCAGCAAATATGCAGAAGGAAATGGAGATGGATTGGGCATACACTGAGAAGGACGACTGGGGACATCACGCGCCAGGCAATACCCTCGAGTGGAACCCTGATGGGAAGCGACGAGTTGGGCGTCCGAGGTGAGGGTGATATGGGGAGATGGTGTGAGGAAGAAATAAGAGCTTGTGGGCTGTCGTGGGGCCGGGTTCAAAAGTTTGCAGAGAACAGAGTGCACTGAAGACGTGCTACTGAAGCCCTATGTTGCATTAGGAACCCAAGGGATAAATAATTATATAATATAATAGGTAGTATCACTAGCGTTCACACAAATGTGACTCACTGCCTAATACACGGATTAGCACTACTTCCATCTAACACCTAAGTGAAAACTAGCTAATTGCCTTACTTACTGTATAACAGTTTATGATACTGCCTGTCTGCAAAAAGAATTTAGAATCTGTTCGCAGTAATTTGGAGCAGCAGAAGTACTTCTAGAGTAAGGTTCAAGTTTAATTAGGTCGACAGATACTACTGTCTACCATATTACTGAGGTAGTTTTCATCGCGGAATGACACCAGTTGGAGAACCACTGGAAATCTGGGAACAATGGACAGCTGTTTCGTCCTATTGTGGGACTCGTGAGCAGTACGCACCCACGACCCCACCAAGGACCGAACTCAGAACCTTTAGATTTCCCGGTGAATGCGATAACTATACAGCCACCGGGTTGGAGTTCATTGGTTTACAGTACATACTTCTGCGGAGTCTCATACTACGACGAAGCAGATGTCCAGTGCTCCCAGGTTTTCAATGGTTCTTCAACTGGTGTCACTCCGGGATGAGTACTACCTCAAAAGTTAAAATCCCCGTTCACCTCAAAATACGTAACTACATTTCTACCATAAAACAGTTTTATCTCCACAGGCACGTAAAATACTACACAGAAGATCATGTTCAAAAGTTTTAGTGAAAGTCAATACGTGATTAGATATGTGTACTTTTTTACAACTTACGCCTACTGAAATCAGATTGAAAGACTGCTGATGAAGCTGTTTAAACGAAGAAAGCCTAATGGCACTCTAACAAGAATAAAATAAACTGCTGACAACACTTTCATTTTGTCAGTGATGCAAGAAAGAAAATAATCTCGTTTAATTTCAGTAGTATGAAGGTAGAATAATTTTGCATACACTGTTACAGTAGATATAAAACAGGGGGAAGGTGATGATTTAATACTCTACTAAGTGTTAACAAACATATGCACTGATATCTTCAGCTGCAAATCTTTAATATTACGGTGAACTACTTCAATTGATGCTATCCATTTTCTCTGGAGTCATTTAAAAAAAGAGAATTGTAGAACTAAGAAACGCTGTAACATCGACTTAAGCGTCATCTTTTGTGTAATCGATTTTATAAACTCGTTATAGTGCTATCGACTAGTGGAAACACTCTGAACATACAAAGGACCAGTAGACTACTACAAAACTAAAAACATCTCAGTAAATTCAAGAGGTAAGTCAACCAAAAGTGAAATATACACAGAATTTTTATACTTATCCGAAATGAAACTTAAAAGGCATGTATATTCACTCACCCATAGTTTCTTCGATGACGACTTGATAAATTATCATTCCATGTATCACGCAAACTATCCTCACAAACACTGGGGGCCACATACGAGAAACCCTAATACATAAATAGAGATGAGGGTATGGATGGGGGGGGGGGTGATTTGTGTATGTATGTAAGAGAATATTATCACTAAAGAATATGGAAATTAGGTGAAATTATAATTAAAACTGACTAAAGGATGAAGTATTATATTAGTAGTTTGGTTTCTCAGTAAATGTCTTAGTTTGCGACATGCAATCCCGGCGCCTGCACATCTATGACCTCGATCTATACCATTGTGTCAATACACCTTAATTGGCGGTTTGAGAATGCTTGGCATACGTTTCTCGCCATCCAAATGCAAACTGTTACTTCAGAATTCATTTTCTCCGGAGCCCTGTCTGACAATAAGCAGTGATGTGGTTGACTATTTCACTTACCTGGAAAGTTGGATTAGTTATTGTACATTAGTGACTGGCAAAATCTCTGCATGGATACAAAAGGCTCAATTAACTTTCCCCATACATGACGTCGCCACGGTATCCAAATGTCTATTAAGGGTGGAATTTCCTATGCTGTAGTTCGCTCTGTTCTGCCACTTGACCAGTAAAGGTAGGCAGAGGATGTAAGAAGGCTTCTAGTGCTTAACCACTGTAGCCCTTGTAGCATAGGTCGTGTGTTATGATGTCACCACGTCAGTAACATAGAAGTCAGGTGTAGAGTTTTAGGGAGGGGAGTAAAGTCAGTAGATGGGGTTGTGGACCGTCATCAACTCAGGTGGCTGAAACACGTTTGACCCATGCCTAGCCACTGTCTGCCTTGTCAAACAATGTTAGGTGAAATAATTTCAAGCTGGAAAAAAGTTCGAGATGGCCAGACGAAAACATGGCATCAGTGTATGAAGTCTTCGACTTTTAGTCTGAGCCATGTAGGCTTCTCGACTGGGGTCTAAGTGACAATGGAAACCAGTGGTTGAAGACTCTAGATGATATGGTTTGGAGTCGAAAATAGCAGCACAAATGTATCTCCACACAGTAACCTCAACTTAATCGTCATACTGAATGCAGTATTTTTCATATATATATTCAGCAGACATGTAAACTATTCACACAGACTGGTTTGTGGTTAAATGAAGCTGATTCACTTTCTTTTTCAGACACCTTAAGAGTCATGCAAATCAACGTAGAACCTGGCACAGAAGTTCAATTTGGCACACTTCACTGAAGCATGCAAAAGGGAAAGTGGATCAAAAAAGTGATGTTAATGCGGAAAAAACGTATGAGAATCAATGGAATGAGCTCAGAAAAAGGCCGTTGAAAATATTCAAGGCTTTTAAGATGACGAAGAGTGAATACTCCTGGGCCACTGCGATATATTTTAAGCTATCTCATAATTATTTTTCAACCACTTATTCTAATTATCTGGAAGACTGCAGTCGGGTAACCTACAATTCCTTACACAGATCAAACCACCAGTCACATACTTCATGAACTGATATCACACATTTGTCTCATCATTCTTAGCTTTCTTTCTTACTTTGGTTAAGATCGCACATAGGAGTAGGTGGTGGCTCGGCATTTGCAACACATGTCGAAGTCACCTCACTAGGCGAGGGTTCAAAAATACATCGAATAACTTGCCTTCCCTGCCTAGTGCACAACTTACGCGTAGCCCCGCTGCTCACACAGTGATTGCACAACACATGTGGAATGCTACGAAAATACCTATGGTCAAAACCTGTAATCCCTTCTTGGTTAATTCAAAAAGTTATATCATTGCAACTATTGCGTCTTTTGGAACTGCGCTAACATCTTAGCATCGAAACTTTTTATATCCACACCTTTATGCATTATCACAACATAGAATCTAGGACTACTGTGGTAGGACCATACAACAGGCCTCACTAGCTACAACTCAGTCACCTATGGCTGTGGTTATATGTTTCGTTTCCATCCAAACGAACACACCTCTCTACGTCATTGCAATATGAAAGAATGACCACCACATCACAGTAGCAGCTTGTGAACTAAAATGCACTTCTCAGGTAGTGGTTATCTATCTGCTGTTTAGGGAAATTAGTCAGTAAGCGCTAAGATAGGCTGTGATAAGTCAACATCTGTTTGTGAAGTTCACCTTAGTACCTACTAGTTGTGATTTAAACAACGTTAAGGATGAGTTTTACTAGCTGTTAATTTTACTACGAAACAAAACCCACGAATATAGTCGTATGAGCTAGTGACCTTAATGCTAATAAGAAAGGGCCGCAACTGCTACCTTGGAGTGATCAGTCTTACCTATCGTAATGACTCGTTTGATTCATACTGCCTATAAAGCCTATCAGGAGTGAGACAGGGTTGCCTACTATTACAGATGATCTTCCTGATCGTGTTTGACTGGACTGGACTGGATCATGCAACAAACTATGAGGAGCAAGAAGATGGGCATATGCTGTTTGACCGATGAAAAGACCCCAGAAGATTTGGATTTTGCCCATGATGATTTAAGTCTAATGTCGCACAAACTGGAAGATTCTACAGGCGAAAACCAACAAGTTGATATATATATAAACAAGTTCCATCAAACCCGTTTGAATCTTTAACGATCGCAGTTCATAAAAAGGTAACAAATTATTTAGTGATTGTCATAAGAAAATGTGCTTAGAATAGTGTCTGCGATTACACGGTTCTTAACCATTCAATATCAAAATTGAACTCTCAAAAACGAAATCATGCAAGTTGCAAGGCTAAAGGGTACGTGGATCAGATTTCGACCAGTTGACGTATTTAGTCAGTCAATTTCAACATATGGCCTGGTAACAATCTGTTACAGCCCTAGTTATCAGGTTCTGGAATATAGGTATGCGTACCTGCGTGATAGCTGTCATACTTCTTGGTGTGCAGGTGGCACTGGATTTCGTTAATACGGGAGCAAATGCTATTCTAGGCTCAAGGAGATAAATGACCAATGTAATGTACTGGAAACTTGGTTATAGTTGGAGTTTGTCGGTCAAGAAATGCAAAAGGCGGTGGTGACTGGCAGGTGTAATAAATGTCTAAGTCACCTCAGTCGTTTAAGGTTTACAACGTTGTTGACCGAATTGCCTTCCTTCCCTGACCTCAACAATGCTCCTATGGTGATTCCACCAAACGCGATCAACGCTACGAAGACACTTGTGATCCGACTTGTAACCGCCTCATATCTTCTACTCTTGACGGCCGTCTCAAAACCACATATCAAGAGAGAATGAACTGTAGCACAGTACATGGATCCTTTAACAGGTAGTCGGATATCTCGCCAGTCGGCAACACATGACGTAGGTCGACAAATGCCAAATGAACCTTTAGTAACCGAGCTGAGATTTCGTCAGCAACCTGTTAGTGCGTTCGGGCTGATGCAACTCCCCAAGTAAGTGAAGTGATCCACACAATCACTTCACTGCCCATCATTAAATTGGGAGAACTTGCAGCAGACTAGTCCTGGAGCACCATCTTATATTTAGCAAGTGCGAAACGTATGCCAAACATACATTTCTGCTTAAGGTGTTCAAAAGACCCTATATTTTGTTAGCATCACCTAACAGGACAACAAGTCACCAAATTGACCTCTAGGGCAGTAAGTTAATATTTGTGAAGTCATACGTACCTAAGGTTGCGTCCATTAATACATCAACAACGAAATTGATCAGGAACGGTGACAGTTAGCATCCCTGGTGGACACCACTATTTGATGATAATCCTCCATAACCTCTTACAATGACCCATGAGTCCGAGTAGAGTGCCTTGATTAGCGTTAAATACTTGCTCGGTACTCCTTTCACAGTCAGACAATGCCATAACACCTCAAGGTCGACACAGTCAAATAACTCCTTCAGGTCAACAAACACGGCAAGTGTCAGTCACTGGCCGGTATTTATACCTGTGTTCCAGAACCCGTCGGAGCGTGAAAATTTGATCGATATGCCCTTGTCTGGATCTGAAATCTGCTCGCTCTTCTCGAGTTTGCTGTTCTTCAGCTTTAATTAGGCACCAGATAACTATGAATCTTAAGATCTTCGACACAATATTAGCCAAACTAATTCCCCTACGGTTGTCACAGGGAGACTTTCCTACCTTCTTAAACATTGGCATGATCAGACTAGTCCAACAGCAATACTTTTGGTTTCCACTCACTACTTCATACTTCCATTACACGGCCGATAACTGCTACCTTGACGTGATGGTCAGGCTTGCATACCACAATAACCCAACGAGCTATGCTGGTGGAAAACTTGTTCCCTCGAAGTCCTACGATACCAGAAAGGTCTGCTGGATAGTGGTTAGACGAAAAGCAGTTACCGTTGTGGTGTAAATTACTACACTATGATGGTGATTTGAGAGCGAAGTCGTATTGCCGCTAGCTGGATGGGGTGTGACAGCAGTAAGGTGTTTCCCTTGGATGACCAGCAGTGCCATGCTGATGCTGCCTTCTCAGTGGAAGGAGAGGTTAGAAAAGGTCGGTCCCAAAAATAATACACTCCACGATGCCCCACTGTCTGCCGGGTCGGCGGTGTTGGTTCATTTGTCGTTTCCTCTCGACCATCCGGCCCCAAAAATACAAAAGTTCAAAATAATCATACTCAAAAGGCTTCGTGTGACAGGCCTCAAGCAGATGTCTGATCGGCTCTGCGGTCACACAAATCTCTTTCAGGTACCTTAAGAAGAAATAGCCTTCCACGGTGTGGGCAGCAGGGAAGTGTCAACCGCCCTCACAACTCTCTCAGCACTCAAGTTTCCTCATACCGTTATCCACTTCCCTCCATCATTACCTTCTAATCTTTCTTCACGTCTCTCAATTAACGATACTACATCATCTTTAATTTCTCCTAGCTCTGCAGCCTTCGACAACGATCCGGGTCCACAGAACAGCATCCTTGGTCTCCTTAAACCACGCTCCAAATTACACATTGGAGCCTCCAATGTCCGCACCCTCCGTCAAATTGGTCAACAGGTTTCATTGGCAACGACTCTAGCAACTCAGGTCACGGATGTGTGCTGTGTTTGTGAGACACCCATACAGGACCCAAATGCGGTTATTTACCTGGTGAATCCACAAAACTCACCCTTCGAGTTTCTGGAGATTCGATAGCTAGCTTTTACGGTCTTGCAGGTGTAGGCGTGGCTTACTAGACTGGATCCCGATTGACAGTCGCCTCTGCGCTATGCGGCTGAACGGCACAGTGAGAAGTAAAAGGAATAGTGAAACAGCGGTGTCTCTTTATAATCTCTGCTTACGCACTCACTGACTGCAGTCCGGATGAAGTGAAGGACGAGTTCTGCCGAAAACTGTCTAGCCTCCTCTAGAACGCCAAACGTTCGGACGTGGTGTTTGCTGCAGGTGATTTCAACGGACAGGTGGGTAGACAGAGTCAGGTAGAAAGGCACTTAGGTGGCACTTTCGGAGTCCCGGTTGAACGAACAGATAACGGTGATCACCTACTACAACTGTGTTCAGATAATCGCCTATTTTTAGCTATCACAAATTTCAGACATAAAGAAAGACACTGTCTGACGTGGCGTCCACCAAGCTCAAATCACCGATGGACACAGATAGACCACATTGCAATCGGTCATCGCTGGAGAGGATCGGTGGAAGACTGCTGCTACTTCTGGAATACGTGTTTGGATAGCGATCATGCGTTGGTTCGAGCACGTATATGTCTACGTCTCAATGGACGTAAACAAAATTGGCAACAAAACCACTACGAGTACTGCTGGACAACGAAAACACCAAAGCTGTGTTCAGTGAGAAGTTGGATAGGCAGTTATCGGGATAGAAGACTGTCACTCATCCAGAAGGAGCTTGGTGCCATCTCCAGTCTGCTGTAAAAGCAGCGCTGAAGAACGTAGCCGGCTCCGAAAGAGTAGCTAAAAAGAGCCGGTGGATACCAGCAGCTTCTTCCGAACTAATGGATGCACGTGAACGCATCCCTGCAGGCCCCGAGTACAATGAAGAGCGGACACAACTTAAAAAGTAAACTGAGAAAAAGTCTACGCAAAGACCGCGAACAGTGGTGGACAGCGAAGGCTAAAGAGATGGAAAAGACAGCAGCGATTGGTAACAGTAGATAGTTATTTAGACTAGTTAAGGAAACTGGGGGGAAAAGGTCGACTGCGGTTAGTGAGACCATAGCGGAGAAGGACGGGTCTGCGTTTCACTCGCAGGGTAGACGACTGGAACGGTGGGCAGCACACTTCAATGAACAGTTCAACTGGCCTCCAGCCACCATTGCGTTGCCCGCTATCTAGTCGGATCCTGAATAGAACATTGAGATAGGCCCCCAACACTTGCAGAAGTCGAGAAGGCGGTAGGTAACCTGAAACGAGGAAAGGCAGCAGGACCAGATGGACTAACTCTAGAGGTATACGAATATAGTGGTAAGGTGCTGTTAGTCAGGTTAACGGAAGTGCTAACCAGTATATGGGAATCAAATACGATCCCCTCTGACTGGTCTAAATCACTGATTATCCCAGTCTTCAAGAAAGGTGAGAAGTCCTCTTGTGATAACCACGGAGTAATCAGCCTGACGAACAGTGTCCAAGATCCTAGGTTCTATAATTCCTCGACGCCTGAGTGGAGCTCGGGGACAGAAAACCCGAGAAAACCAGGCAGGCTTCAGACCCGGCTGCGGGTGTATCGACAAAATATTCACACTGCGCCAGGTTTTGGAACACAGACACGCTTACCGACGCCCGACGCTGGCTGTTTTTCTCGACCTGAAGGCAGCATTCGACTGTGTTGATCGCAAGTCTTAAGGCAATGTATCTCACTGGAAGGTGTCCCGATTAAGTACATCACCTTATTGACGGTTCTCTACTCGAACATTTGTGGGCGTGTTAGAGCCTATGGTGAGATGTTAGGTGAGCTGTACTCATCGAGTGGTGTCCGTCAAGGGTGCCCACTGTCTCCATTTTTATTTAGTTTTATCATAGATATTCTAATGGAGGTCTCTCGTCACCAGGTTACACAAAGTTTGACCTAGTCGGTGGAGAATTTTCATTAGACCTAGAATATGCGGATGACATAGTTGTGTTAGGTAAAGACGATGACAAGGTGCAGAGTCTTCTGAACACTTTGAGTGGGAATTTGCGAATGTTTGCGATGCGTTTCTCACCACCCAAATGAAAGTTATAGCTCCAGGGTTGGTCTTCAACGGTGCCACGGCTAACAATAGAGAGTGAAGTGGTTAAATGCGTCTACCGCTTCACTTACCTGGGAAGTAGGATCAGCTCTGGTGGGTCAGTTGCCGACGTAGTCTCTGCACGGATACGAAAGGTTAGGCTGGCTTTTGCCAATTTACGCCACCTATGGCACCGCCGTGATATCTGATTGTCTACTAAGGGTTGCGTGTACTGCACAGCAGTCCGCTCTCTTCTACTGTATGGCTGTAAAACATGGCCAGTGAAGGTGGAAGATATGAGAAGGCTTCAGGTGTTTGACCACCGTTGCCTTCGTAGTATAGGACGTATTCCGTGGTATCACCACGTAAGTAACGCAGAAGTCAGTAGAGTTTTAGGGAGAAGAGGTAAGTCAGTTGACGAGGTTGTGAACCTTTATCGACTGAGATGGTTGGGACACATGTTACGTATGCCTAGTCGCCGACTGCCTCATCACACAATGTTGACCGAAGTAGGTTCAGACTGGAAAAAGGTCCGGGAAGGCCAGACCAAAACATGGCACCAATGTGTGAAGTCTTTGACTGTTGGTTTAAGCCATGTGGGACGATGCAGATTAGCTGGTTGGGGTCCACGGGATAAGAGAAAACAGCGGTTTGAGACTCAAAGTAATATGACTCAGAACCGATGTCAGTGGTACACATGTATACACACATTATCCCCATCTTAACGACGCTAGACCGATTCTCACCATTTTCTCATTCTTCGTTTCTCTCTTTTCGCACTTTATATTTCCTTTGACTGAATTTTCTTTTGTTCATCCTCAACTTTACTGCCCTTTTACTTCATGTACTGATATGAGCTGTGGCAACTCGGACCGTTACGTAGTAATGCCTAGTCCTATGTTGATTTGGATGGATGGATTACGCTACTCACTAACTTCATACATACATCTTTAATACTTTGCCAAACCATCAAGTCCAGCTGCATCGCCCCGTTTCAGGTACGCAGCAGCTTTCCCAGCTTCAAGAAGAGTCGGAGGACCGACATTCACTTCTTATTCAGGTTTAGATTGAAGGCTGGGCAACTGACGCCTTGCTGTGGATCATTTGAACTGTGCTTCAGTGTTCTATCCCACGTTCTAAGCGCCTATTGAGAGCGGTTATCGGTGCCCCCATCTTTTTCGGTGGTTTCATTCATTCCCCATTCAAGTATTGAGCATTGCTGACATTCGATCAGAGTTAATATTATCCAATTTGTGAGAATAAGTATCGAATTTGAAGTAGATACTCAAATTTTAGTCGCTTACGGTTAACGGAACACTATTTAAATACTTTCGCATTTACGACACGGATTTTCTCGCCTTGGTTCACTAATTTGCTTTATCATTAGGAAAGGTGAACGAAATCTATAGAGCTATGAATTACAGTTATTATAAAAGTGTATGGCAAGGTATCTCCTATCTTGGACGTTATACAAGTGAGGAGGAAAGGGTATCAAAATAGGAACTTTGGGGAGGGAAGCATGGGTCGGATATCTTTAGTTTGACTTCGTACACTTAGAAGGACTCAGAAAAACTTGCTTTCTGTCCTTATTTTCTAAAGCTTTTACCTATTACTCATTTACTCGCTGTATCTCTCCATGAATGTTTTACTCGTACTAGTATTTTCACTTCAGTGCACACTTTCCGCTAAAAAATTACTGTTTTTCACCTGCCTTTATGAATGTTTTGCAATAAATTTTAGCGTTGCTTAGTTTTACACTCAACAACAAATGATGTTACAAATATATAACAGGAAATAAACTGACCTGAAACATATCAGGAGGAATGGATGCAACCCCATCAACCGGGCTAACGACGGGCTGCAAACGGGTAAACGATGGGTCGAACATAGAAACATCATTTTCAGCGGTGAGCTTTGGACGGAAAGGTGGCTTTAAACGACGGTGATAAACATCAGACCAATTGATTTCCTGTAAGATAAAACTTAATTTGGCCATTAAACTCTTAAAAATGGAATTCTTTAGACAGTCAAAAAAGCAGTTAAGATTTATCTAAATACTAACCTAACTGACTAATCGTATACGGTTGTAGTAGGACCAATATAAGAGGACTGCGATCTCAGTAGCCCAGGGAGAACGCTTATGATTGCAGCACTGAGTGATGCGAACTTGAAACTCTGGCAGAACATAAGAGTGGAGATGTGGCATGCTGGGTTAAGCACTCAACATGTTGGGCTTATATCCCGCTGCCCCTACTGCTGCCTGAGCAACGGGGTAGTACCATGAGCCGTAACAATGACTCTTACTTCAGTGCAAAATCCTGCGCCGAGTTAAGTGGCACTAAATCACTTTATGAATTAGTTGGAGACAGTTCACGTGACACATGAAATGCTCATTGGAAGAATCTTAGGTTTTGAGTAGCATGCTTTGTGGATCGGAACTCAGAGAAAAATGACTGAGGTGTCCAGTATAGTCATGTCTCCCCTTTACTTCACTCTAAAATCCGACGTCTTATTTTATTCCATTCGATTTTCAAATATGAAAATAGAGGACTTGTTTGCCGATGTAAATCCTTGTACTAAGTGTGTGAACACCTACATATTCCCTTAATGTTCAATCAAGAAGCTAATATTAGTTTTACTAAAGAATTCCAATAGTTGACTTTTAGATGGGAAAAAGGCAACCTTGGCCTACGTTGATCAGGCTGCAACTATGGCATCTCCTCCAGATGAGTTCAAAACAAAAATTTTTAAGGATCAGACGTACATATAACTGTTGCACATTCTTTAACTTAGAAGACAAACGACTTAGTAAACTCACGTGTCTTTTGAAAAATTTGTGTCTTTTTATTTCCTCCATATCTTCCTTGCTTCCTAGCCTTTCTTTTGGGTCACGTTTCAGCAAACCACGTATTAGACTGATAACCTCTGATGAGAAAGACGGAGGAAACCTCAGAGGAGCTGTGAGAATCTGTAGGGAGATGAAAGTTTAGGGGGAAACTCACTTTACGAGTGGTAGCTTCACGACTTTCTTCTTGGCTAAATGGGGGCTAAGATAAACCTTAGTCAAAGAGAAGATGAACATACCGCTCCTGATAACATATCATAAATAAGAGTCCCAAGGCTCCACCAATCCACTGCTTTTCCATGACCTTCACATCGGATTATCTCAGGAGCCCTGTACAATTAATTAAACCGCAAACTTACATGTACTCTATTGTTCCACAAAACGTGTTAGTGGTACAGACACCTTCTTTAGACAGGCCGAAGTCAGTTAGCTTTACATGGCCTTGGCGATCCAATAACACGTTTTCAGACTTTAAATCCCTATAGATTATACCTAAAGAATGTAAGTGTCCGATGGCCAAGACGATTTCGGAAGCATAAAAACTATTTTGTTTGCAAACTATAGTAATTCTCTTACCATGCAGCATTCTCCAGCAAAGCTCCTTCACGTTCCAAATAGTTAAAAAGTTCTCCTCCGTGGCAATATTCAAGCACAATATATAGATTTGAGTGGTTTTGAAATGCATAATGAAGTTTCACCAGAAAGGGATGCTGAAAGATTGGAAGGCTGATAGAATGGTTACCTGCAACATTTCGAGTATGTTTCTTTCAGAGACTGTGTGCGCCTTATCCTTCTCGTTGCACACCAACCTAGCCTTTTTTAACACCTTCATGGCATATAATTTCCCCTGATCGACACCACCGACTTTCTGAACTAGAAAAACCTGCACACACTAAGCCACAGAAGTTCCACGAACCTTTCCGTAGCCTCCTCTGCCAATTACACGTTGTATGTTAAAATTTTCAGCATTTACGCGGTTGTTGGGATTGACAGTCTTCTGACAGATCTCAACAGTTTCCTGAATGCTTGTCTCCCTGATGTCATAGAAAATGACGTAATATAAACCTACGCCTGAACATCTGAACACTTTATGTCCTTGGACTATCATAATTATGTAAAAAAGAAGTATAACTAACCATTTGATCTTCAGGTTTGAAGTTGCTTTTTACCGAAATGACTGAGTTGATACTGTCTGCTTCATCATCTCTGGATTCTTCATCATTATCGAGTTCAGCAGACAAGAAGTCAATCTCTGCCATACCCTATGGGAAGGGGGTTTTATGTACTGGTCAACAATAAAACCACATTTTCAAGCGCGCGCTTTCTACAAAGGTAAGCGGTAGTGACGCATTAGTTCATTTATAGAACGATACGCTAACATAAACACAGAGGGTAGTTTCCTTTCAAAAAGTTTTTGTGAACGCAACAATTTATTATCATTTGTTCTGCTGTGTTTCATAGCCTCATACGTCTTGAAGTTTATCTCTGTAAGGCGATCACGGAATTGCCAGTCGCCAAAATCATAACCATACGACCTTCAGTTCTACTTAATGTCATTGCTATAGTCCATTCGTAGAGTGATCAAAAAATGTTCTGAGGACTGTCATGTTTCTTCGCATCTGACCTTTCATATTTAGCTTGTCTGGCATAAGTGAAAGGTGAGAGGAAATCTTACGTATTGCAGTCCCGAAAGGTGTCTGGGGGGAGGGAAGGCATGACGTACGACTCCGAATTATCAAGTCTCGACAAGGTAGGACAAAACCATCTTGTCATCAGATATATAAAGTAACTAAGTGGTTCATCAGCCTTTGACTTCGAAGATGCCTTGGAGGAGTTTTTCCGAGAATCGAAGCTAAGGTTTGTGACGGAATGTTCCGTTCGGAACAATTTGAGAGTCCTCATGGGCAGTTTGGCAGCGAAATTAAGAATCCGTTGGATAATGGTTATCAAAGTCTTCAGGCTGCATCTGACTAATCAGAAAACTCTCCATAGCTGCGATGTTAAGGTCCTATAAGTGGCATGTCCTAGCTCTTTGAACACGGTACACGCCTTGACTGTCAAATGTGAGGGTATGTGAAATTATTTTATGAAGCAGATATTCACTACTTCTCAGGCGATGACGGGTTCAGAGAGAAGGAGCCGTACAAGTCAATCGGATCGGTAAATGTAACACTATCAACTGCCTCTGAAAATTTAAATTTACATTTTCAGCCCCACCAATCATGATATAGCCTTGCATTTTGGCTCCTTGTTTTATTGAACCATATACTTACCATTTATTTTCCCCGGGACATCAGTTGGTCTTATCCACATTGTCACTGATTTCTCTGACCGGTAAGTTGTAGGAGTATGTTTGGAAAATTCTAATTTGAATGACAATTGTGTTTTTCCGTAAGGAACAGATCCACTGTGCTTTACAGCCCTCGCTCGGATGCAGATTCCATTGGGTCTTATCGAACTTGAATTAGATAGAAGAACTTAGGCACCCGCCTGTTTATCTGGTATAGTCTGGCTGTTTCGGCTGCCACACCATCCATATTTATGAAAAACGACTCGATCCAGTTGAGCTGGGTCCACTGTCTTAAAGTAGAAGACTTCTATTGGCGAACCACACCTTTTTTTAAGTCTATCATTTACTTAGCGGCTGCTCTCAGGTATGGAGCTGTTATACTAGGGTGACCTGTTAAAGAATTACAAGAGATGCCTTAGTCGTTAGAATCTCAAATTATTTTTCGCACTCGGTTGTAAACCACATAAAGTATTTATTGTGCTATGTCCGTGCCCTAGATTATCGCTTTCAAATACTATTTACAATGATAAACATAAACGACGTAGCCTATTATAGTCATTTCCAAGGACTGATAGTGGTCAAGGTTCTACCCTGGTATTGTGGAATCGGCGGTTAGCTTTGAAATGCTGATTTCAATTCACACGAGATCAAGGGTGCCGCAATCAGTTGCCCTGTGTTCGACTTCATCCTGACTGGAGACTAAAAGTAAGTGAGGATGGCACTTCAAAGCATAGAGACCAGAACCAGAAATGTTTTGGAACATTGCGGAGGTGAGGGAAGGTGGACTGGCGAAAAAGAGATGAAAAGAATAGTAATCTAAGTAAATACAGTGGCAAGAATAATATTGCATCTATCGTGACAGGTGTATTATTAAGTTGTTCCTCTATTCCGGCCTCTCCTTTTCCACCGAAGAAGCGCAGCTGGTGAGTCGGTACACAAATACAGACCTCTTCTTGTAACCCATAGCTGCCGTAGCTGTCGAAAATGAGCATGTTATTCACCCTAAGTGGTTTTTCTGATAACCACTACAGTTCTTAAATGGAATCCCAGACATATGACCACATTACTGACCGCGGCTTTGGCCAACCAGGCGTCACATATATCCAAGCAGTTAGTTTTCCTTCTCCTGTCTTGGTCGCACTTGACTTTCATCGAGCGCGTTTTCAGGAGTGAGTTGAGTTACATTTTTACGATTCAAACTTCCCGAAGCAACGCATCCTAGCTACTGAATGGTTCTTACCATTTTGCCACTCCTTTTCCTTTCTCCTCATACTTTATATTTCTTTTGACTGCATTCACTTATCTTCATCCCTCACCTCACTACCTTTTTACTTGATGAACTGACGTGAGGTGTGGCAACTCGGACCGTTACGCAGTAATGCCTGGTCCTATGTTGATAATGATGATGATGATGATGACTGAATGATTCTGCCAAAAATTGCAGCCCTCTGGCTATGTGGGGAGTAGAAAAACTTGGGTAGGTTATCTGACAGCGGTTGACGGGTCATGATAAATTATGCCAAGTACAACCGAGAAAAATGTGATTGGCAATACAGTAGAGACTTCTAAATTGATGATAAAGAAAAGTTTTAGCTTTAGAGGATGGGGATGGTGATATGTTACCTGAGCTGGACGGCTCTGTCGTGGTCAAACCATTACACGCGGTACGTTGGAAACTGTGTTGCATTTTAACGTGATTTCTGTCATTCGCTCTGGATCGGTTATTCTGCGTACTGTGATATCCAGTACTATTTGAAAAGTTGTAAAATACGCGTATATCATGTTTGGTCAGCGAATTCCTTTAGCTTTCCGTGTTAAATAACCTCTCATCGACGTGACAGAGAATAAACCGAAATCCCTACCTCAACTATGGGAAGAAATAAGGCTAGGCAATCAAAAATAGACTGTCAGTGGAAATTCTAAAACGAACGCTTCAGGATCCGCCTTCAGATGTGATGAGACAGATGCCTCAACTGGTAGCTTAGATGCAGCAGGAATTATTTTCCGCACACTGATCATCAGAGCCTCGGACGTTGCCTCCGAAGTAAATGCAAGGCTCGAGAAAAACAAAAAAATGACATTTCCAATATTACGTTTATATTAGATGATATTCAGGAGACGCTGGAGGAATTCTCTCCGTTAGCTCGTTTGTTTGCCCAAACTAACACCCTATAAAGGGACAACTTGCAGAATGCCAACGGTTTAGTAGACTTCATTGCCACTGAGGTAATAAAACGATTAGCATAATCTCTTCAGATCATAGTGTACAATGTACCTGATAACGTGCATTTAGAACAGATGACCTTATCGTTTGGCATGGGTTCAGCCAACGAGTCAAATATGCCAATTTTGATGCAAAGCTACCTGCTGATGAATCTCGCCAGAACGGTTTCCAAACGCATCGTGGACACGATCTCCAGAGTGTCTCTCAAACGTCTGTGTGAGGTGAAAACTATTACAGTTGTACAAGATAAAACCCCATGTCAGCGTAGAAAAGAAAGGAGAAAAGGTCCCACCACCTCAACACATGCAAACTCTGGAGGTACTGCATGCACTGAGAAACAAACGAATAGTGCTACTATGATCAGTAACGGTACCACGCCAGCCAGTAAAGCAATCCCAAGTGGATCTGGGAGGAAGCAAACCGGGCTCATCAATTTCTCACGGAACCCAAATTGTCAGTACTAGCCTCCCTAAGATAACCATAGGTAAAAGCCTTTAGGTTGACAGTAGGGTCACTAAGCACAGATTTGCGGGTAAAATCATGCGCATAGACAGCGAGGCTCTCAAAGAAAGCCATTTTAAAAGCGTTTTCTCTAACTGTGGCGAAGAATACTTCGTGACTAACAAAGCTGCTGTAGACAAAACCGCTACTAGAACCATAAGGAGTAAGGAATCTCGTAAAGAAAACCCACCCAAGGGGCATGTTTCACGCCTGATCCCGACGGTTAGAAAGAGGCACTACAGCAACTTGGAGGCACCTGACATGAGGCAGTACCCTAGATCACGTTCGACCAGCCATGGGGACCCCAACATGATGCCATGTGGCACACCAATCACACTCATGTCATACATGTAATATATGCCCGACCCAAACCTGCATTGGCACCCGGATGGTTCTAGCCAGTACTGTGGGAATACACATCGTTACTCCCCAAATACTATCATTACTTTCGAGCCACATCATAACCATTTTGGGATTCCGCACAACGCGTTCGACCCATAGTTTACAGGATCGCGTCGCAATCCAGAAACACAAGCTTGTAGCTACCATCCTCGGTTCACGCCCGTCAGAAAATACGCGGCACGTCACCGGTAAGAACGGAAGGATGTCTAATGATGTCACGCGCCTTTAATGTGTCAAGTATCACTTCTAGAGTACATTCTACAAAATATTTGTTGAGGAGGAATGAAAACTGTTGTGGGGTGACGCTTTTTCTGATTGGAATATGTAATCGGTTCCAGGCAATGCTGTACTTTATGGTAAGGAATTTTGACCTGAATTTAGCATGGCAGCGTGCTACGTTGAGAGCAGAAGCCTGATGCCTGGGGTTGTATTATTCAGGAGTGCTCATTCCAAGTTCGCTGTTAAGGAAATATGTCAACCCTCTAAGAATTTTAAAAATAACGCCAGGGTTCAACCTCAGTCTTCTAAGCCAAAAGGGTTCTAAATTAAAAGCTTTACACCGGCAATAATAAGAAATGTTAATTCTGTCTTTCATCAGTCCTTTGGTGAATCTTCGTTGCACTCCTTCTGGTTTGGCCCTGTCCTTCATTTAAATACTATCAACAATGTTAGGACGGAGCTCAGGGAATAGACGGATACATGATTTGTGTAATATAACCCTAGCTTTCTGGGTCCAAAAGTTTTGAAAGAGGAACCCAAGAAGTTGTCTGACCTTGGAAACCTGCGAACCGACATACTACGTGGAGCTGAAGCGTGGTGAAAATGTCAAACCTAGGTCCGCAACAAGTGGCCGGATGGGAACAGGTTCTTCGTATAGGGTGACCAGAACACCAGGTGGAATATATTTAGAGCACAACATTCAAAACTTGTATGAGTTAAAATCC